TCATAAAATCACCAGATTAGTATCTAAAAAATACACATTTTTGACAATTCGGGTTAAACTTGTGGCTGTGGTGTTAATGTGACGAATCTTCACAATGGGTAAGATGAAAATCAACCACCTATTTGATCTCAGAAAAGGGGTTGCTGTAGGTTTTTGGTTTGTTTTGGTTGTAGTTAGGCGCAATGGGCTGTCATCTGTGCTCTGTCCAACACAAATATCGAAACCCGATTTTTAAAGTAGTAAGCCTGCAGACTTGCTACTGAGCCACGGGGGGGGGGGGGGGAGACTCGGCATCACAGAAGGGCAAACGAAAGAATACAAAAAAAATCTTTGGTATTTGTTCTTGAAACCCTAATGGAAAAGAATCACGTTTTTAAACTTGAGAAGTTTTGTCTAACCATAACGATGTGAAAATTATAATAATAAAGCTCAAGGACGTTTTGAAAATGTTCTATTTTACTATTTACACCTACCAGTTAAAGATGTAGCGTCGTCCATCTTAACGTACTGTGTGCTCTGAATCGCGTTTCCTAAAAGCAAAATTTACACCTTAACTGTTTGGTTTGAATTTCGCGCAAAGCTACACGAGGGCTATCTGCGCTAGCCGTCCTTAATTTAGCAGTGAAAGACTAGAGGGAAGGCAGCTAGTCATCATCATCCACCGCCAACTCTTGGGCTATTCTTTTACCAACGAATAGTGGGATTGACCGTCACTTATAACGCTCCCACGGCTGAAAGGGCGAGCATGTTTGGTGGGACAGGGTTTCGAACCCGCTTTGCCTACGTCAACTCGAAATTAACTCGCTCATCATGAACCCTTGATAAGATATTAAGGAACTTCCAGACTAGAAAGAAAACTTTATATTGCTTGTAAATTTGTGAAACTTTTGTTTATAAATCATTGTTTGTAATAACTGTTATTGTAAATTGTATTGTTGTGTGCATATTAAAACGTATTTGTGTTAAAAAAGGAAACTGTGTGTATTGATCTTGTTGGAAAATATCATAAACTGACTATATATCAGCATTTATTTAAATACTAAATCCAAAGTACAATTTAACTACTAAATTTAAATTATTAATTAACTTAATTTCAGACCATTTGAAATTCTCATACGAAAGAGTTACAATAATGATAGTACCCCACTCCATACATATGAAGACTAAGACAATACCTTCATCCTGAGATACATTAAACATCTTGACGTGCAGGAGAGACTCAAGTTATAGCAATTCTATCTGAGGTACAGCTACATGTTGGTATTGAAACTATCTTTGGCTTGGACAAAATACACAGAAGCATAAATGCATCTAATGATGGGGCTCTTGATTCAAATGGTGTAGGAATCTCCACCTTTAAGAACCTTACAGAAGCCAACCTATTGAAGTTAGTGTTGAAGTAATTGTTTAATAAGACTGTTATTTGTCTATGTGAAAGTATCATGGTGTTGTGCATTTCATTTCTGAAGTTGCTTATTGCAAGCAGTCATAAGTTTGCGTTAATCCTTGCCTGAAGCTAAATTTACAGGAAGTAGTAGCCAATTCCATAGGGCTTATATTCGCTTGGCAATCCTTCTGTGTCATTGTTCCACTAGAGTTTGGGTTATACCCAAACGGAAGGATGGTAAAAAGGTTTTTACAAGTTAGTATTAGCTTTTTGCCAATGTTCTTTGAGACTGGTCACTGGTGTGGGCAATCTAGGATTATGGGACACCACACTAGACTTTAGTCTAACTTAAAACTGTAGCGCACACACAGCCCTGCAGTCTGATGAAAACGTGTCCTTCCTCATTCCAACAGCTGTACAGTACCAGCAACGGCTTAGAAGTTGACCAATATTACAATAAAGATCCCCCCCCCATCAACTTTATTGTATTTTTTACATGCGTACTATAAATATTTTGTTTCTTACTTTACACAAGTTTACCTTTCATTTACAACCCGCATTCATTTTATACTCTCACAAGTCTTTAGAATACCCATGTTACTACAATACTCAGTGCTTTCCTGTTAGTTCCAGTTTCATCAGCAAATGTCACAGAGACTGGAGACATACCCAATCCAGCTTTCCTGTTAGTTCCAGTTTTATCGGCAAATACCACAGAGAATGAAGACATACCCAATCCAGCTTTCCTGTTAGTTCTAGTTTTATCAGCAAAGACCACAGAAACTGAAGACATACCCAATCCAGCTGTACATGAATGGATATACTGAATTATATCAAATTTGACAAGAAGTATGCCCAACCAGTACTCAAACAGTTGTAAAAATATAATTGCTATAAATATTGTAAAAGTGAATGTACAAGCAAACAGTGTTTGTTCAGGAAAATCATAATTGATATGTACAAATGTGTGTGTGTGTGTGTGTGCCTGCTAAAACGAATGCATTCAAGAGCACGTTAATCAAGGTGACGTAATTATAACAAGTACCTAATAAACCAAGTGAAAAAAGCTTTTTTTTACAAAGCTATTAATATTTGCATCATTTACTATGTTCAACCTAAAACATATTTCTATTATGAATGCTCTGAAAGAGCTATTATCCGTAACAGTTAATGTTCAATGACGGATGATTTTTTTTTTCTTTTCTTGATACTCACTGATTATGTTACATATGCATCATCACAACCCTTCTTAATTAACCTAAAGATGTGATTATGTACTGATAACCGTAAATATAAAGACAATTTTTTTTCTTTCTGATTTTGTTTCATACCAAAAGACAGATATAGTGGAAATATGAGACACGCATCAAAAATAAACTAATAAGTAGACAACAACTGGGCCAGATTTGACTTTATTACGGTAAGTTTCCCAATTTAAAACATGTTAGGTTTAATTTGACATCAAAACCCACGTAGTGGTCTGTTCAAGCATTCCATAGCGGTTTAATAATCTAGTATACAACTTTTAGGTAATGTGATTAGTTTTTCCCAGCTTTGAAGACATAACCGTGTTTACAGAACTTAGTGACATGTTTCAAAAATAACAATACGTGTTTTCAAATATTTTAATATATTTCCTTGAAAATTATTACGACAAACTCAAAAATTTCCCACTTTTTGGATCATATCAATGATTAAAATTGTCAAGTTAACAATTAAGAAAACGAATTATGTTTCAGAGCAGGCAGCACATGCAGAAAGTGCGCTGAAATAGCCCTATGTTATCACAACAGAACAAGACAGTCTTCCATAAAACTAAATTCTATTGTACTTTTTTAGATTGCCTTAAGTGTAATTTTCAGACATTATATATATATGCACCCCTATATATTTTTAATGCAGTATAAAAGATACAAGCCAGAGAATAGGAATAATACTGTGCACTTTAACAACTTTAGAGACGTTTAGATTTACGTTTTTACGAAGTTTGGCATAAGTATTCCGGTTTAGAAAATAAATATTGCTTTCAAATTTACAGAAACCACTTTCCTAAGAAAAGTGGGCCCGGGATGGCCAGGTGGTTAAGGTGCTCGACTCGCAATCTTTCACTTAGTAGGGAGCTAGCTAGCCCTGTAGTCTTCACTGTACACCTATTAGAGATTGAGTTTCCACTGATGACGTTAGGTAATGTTTTCGTAAAAATATTAATGTCCGATGTGAATTCACTGAAGTTAAATGATTTGTAATGTTCGAACTTTGTAAAGGTTCCTGGTCAAATATCTGATGTTTTCCGATTGATAGGCGTTATAACAATCACAGTTATAGCTTCCGGAGCTAAAAGCACATCAATTATAGCGAACTAATAATAGATACTCTCTTTGGCGCGTTGCGTTGGTTATATTTATAGACATGGGAAGGTTTTCTAGAAAATTCAGATTACGTAACAGTACAATTTAAGTGTTTACGTACACACACATATATTGTTTATTCTTACTCTCGAGAATCTTCTACAACTTTGGAGAATAGACGGGAGTTTCGCAATACATATTTAACACTATAAGCTATGTATGTTTCTAAATATAAATTTAATCTAAACAAATGTTGATATTAAGATAAATATATAATAACAAATTCGTTACACGATCGACTCACAATCTGAGGGTTGAGGGGTTCCAATTTCCGTCCTACCAAACATGCTCGCCCTTTCAGCCTTGGGGGCGTTAGAATGTGACGGTTATTCCCATTATTTGTTGGTAAAAAAGTAACCCAAGAGTGGTGATGACTAGCTGCCTTTCCTCTAGTTTTTCACTGCTAAATTAGGGACAGCTAGCGCAGATAACCCTTGTGTAGCTTTGCGTGAAATTCCAAACTAACCAAATCAATCTAATTGTTTCAGTAGTCAAGAAAGCATTAATGGTCTATATTTTCCTAATATTTCAATTATTCGTGTGCTAAGACACTAATTGACTAACTGTACGTAGGATACTAATTGCCAATTGAAATTCGCTTGCGGTTGGAAGGTATGCATGCGTCCTATGGTTATGATCTAACAAGATTAGGAGAGCTTCTATATGAGGGAAGAAGTACTGAAATTATCACGTAAAAATGGCTCATAGATATTTCCTTGCATTCATCTATGGAGATCAAGGAATGGACTATAGAACGAACTTAGAATTAGTTACGAGGGAACGCTTTGGACTGTTTCAGTTTAATTACATAAAGTAATGATGACGTGGTTGGACTTCTGTGAGTTTAGCAGCGTTTCGATGCACGTTTTGTTTGTTTGTTTGTAGTTAAGCACAAAATTGCACAATGGGTATTTGCGCTTTGCCCACCACGGGTATCGAAACCCAGGTTCTAGCGTTGAAAGTCCGCAGACATACCGCTATGCCACTGGGGGGCTTCGATACATGCAGTGGGCACAGTACAGATATTCCTTTGTGTAACTTTGTTCTATAAACACAAAAATATAATATTTAGTGCTGCACATAGACACAATTTAAAGTAAACCTCAATAATGTTTTTATTGTCATTTCTATTATTGTCTTTTTTTATAAGCCTCCCTTTACTAGTTAGTTGTTTATTACTTAGTCGTTAATATTTTTTACTTCAGTGTTGCTATGACAACGTGCTCGACAATTATCGCCCTTGGAATGATGCCTTTCAACTTGTGGATTTATTCACACGGAATTGATACAGGAGCAGTTACAATTCCTTATTGGAAGATGGCAGTCTCTCTGATAATTATTTTGTTGCCTCTTGCTTTTGGAATGATATTGAAAGTAAAGTTACCAAAAGTGGCTCCAATTTTTACTAAGGTATAGTTTCTAAAACGTACAAGTTTATTATATTTTAAGCAATATAAGGTGAAAATTAAGATAATTATAACAAATATAATGTAATTTTACTGTGGTGTTATAACAAGTAATAAACCGTTTTTATCGCCAGGCAAGCGTGGTGTCTGATTTTTGAATCGTGAGAGATGGTAAACTCTTTAACTCCTCAAACATCATTTATGGATGACCTTAGCATGGCAAGATTCTGAGTTAGGGCGTATTGGAATATACCGGTTTCCAGTGGGCCCAGTCATGTTAGAAAATGACAGTATTCTGTGGTTCAGTCATATACCTCAGAAGCAACAATCATCATGTTCAAGAGGGCTATCACTTTCTTTGGAACTATTATCATTCCAAGCATAATCATCATGTTCAAAAGAGCTATCACTTTGGGGTGGAGGGGGACTTGGTACCATGCCTTTAAACCATATCCATCCGACAGTCAAATTGAAGACGAGGAGGGTCAGTCAATATTACGGCAACTACTGGAGGTTGTGATCTTGAGGTTGACTGGATATGGCATCAATGAGGTCAAAGAATTAATATACGCTCTCTATTGTCAAATATCAGCCGTGCTCACTTGTCAATCAAAATTGGTTGATTCTAACGCTATCCCTGTCATCATTGTAAAAAAGAAAAACACGTTAGTTATAGTATTTATAAGAAAATGACTAATTTTGCATTCATTCAAATAATTCATTAGTGAAAAAAATACATTTAAAACTGTTAAATATTTCATTAAGCTGTCGACAACGTGAATATCAGACAATTGAAGTAATCGATGTTATTTCTTGTTGTATTATATTTTGAAAACAATGTTACTGTAGCGTATTTAATCAAGTTGCTTTTATGCAAAAGGCAGCTAATTTTTATAAACACGTTTTCACTTAGAAAGCCCTGTTTTAAAGTTGATAAATGTTAAAAGCATATTTTTGAACATTAACCGAATATGAATATGAATTTATATTCCGATGTCTTAGTTTATTGTCGGATATACATTTTGTTAACCATTAGAATGCCTTAGAAATAACGTTTGAAGACAAGACCTAAGTTTTTACAAGGTTTTAAAACATATTAAAGGTTTTCCCTAAAACATCTTTTATTTCTTATTCTCCTAGCTAGGAAGTTACAGTGGATATGGTATCATTCTTATCATTCAAGTAATGGAACTGTTTATTTTCCCCGACATCTTTGATGACGCTCCTTTCACTCTGTATATAGCTGCATTAGTAATGCCAAGCGGAGGAATAATTCTTGGAATCGTCTGTGGCCGGATTTTTCGCCAATCATGGACTATTTGTAGAACTATTGGAATTGAAGCTGGATTCCAGAATGTTGGAACAGCTCTCACTGTGATTTCTCTTTCATTTCCTTTCAAAGTAAGATCATACATTTTATGATGATGTTAGTGTCAATGTAAACCATTTATTGAACCTTCTGTTGACACTTGTTGTTTTAACCATACCCCATTTTAGTATTTGTGATTTTATTACTGTTTTTATATTGGAACATATCCACATTTTATCGAGCGCATATCGCAGAATTTCTGCGCAATATGCGATTGCTTAACGTTCTGAAATCCTATGTTTTTGAAGGAATTTTTGCACCAAAATATTGTTTTTACGTATTTTTTTCTACTTCCACACCCTTCTGTTACAGTGAACTGAGTTCTGTATTTCATGCCGCGAGGACATTAAGCAACAACACTTCAGCAGTTTGTTAATACAACTGAATAAATATATTTAACACTAAACCATTAAAATATTGAAACATTTTATTGAAAGTCTCTTCCTATAAAAAAAAGGCATATGTTTGTTTTAATCCACTTTTTCATTTCTCATACATGTAGTGAAGCCGCGTGGGTGTGGGGGTGAGGAGGTGTATTAGTGGCATGTGTGGATAACTTAAAGAGGAAAATATAATACATACAATAGTTAGCTTATTAAACGTTTAATCACTAAATTCAAGAAGAAATGACTGTTTTAAGCTGTTGAAACAAATGCTGAAAGCCAGAAATCAGGTTTCTCGGAGATCCAACACGTTCAGGAGTCAAAAAGCGTGTGGCCATGAATATCGAAAAGCGTTTCAGGTGTTTCAGTTGATTAAAAACTGGATTTGGTGCATTATATAGATAAATGAGGTCAGTGAAAATTTGAGACCCACAGCAAAACAAACCTCGTATTTTTACAAATTTCGCGTGTTGTGCAGTGTCAATGATGAATTTATCCCGCGGTCTTTTTTTGTCTTTTAGAATTTGTTTGTTTGTCTGTAATTAAGCACAAAGCTACACAATGGGCTATCTGTGCTCTGCACACCACGGGTCTCGAAACCCGGATGCTAGCGTTGTAAGTCCGCAGACATACCACTGTGCCACTGGGAGGCAAATACATACAGCATTGGATCCGACGAAAGTTTTCAATCCGAAACGAATAACCTTATCATGAGTTGTTATACACTCGTGTCGTACCAAAACTCCACGATATCATATTCACTCAGAATGATGTTACATCCCTAATCTACTGACGAATAAATACACTGATCAGAAGAATACCGAGTTTTCAGATTCTTTTTCCATCATGCTCCACCTGCCCTCACCTCTGTTCAGTACTGGTTATGGGGTTTTAATGATGATGCCAGTCTATTGCAGTAACCCAATAACCATTCATCAACTGACTGATACCATTATGACAGAGGTTTGGCAATTCCCCGAAGATGTTACATGCTCCATTTTCAAATGGTATCGTCACGGACAGATGAAATAATCGCAACTAGTGATGGCAACATGAAGTAGCGGCCTCTTAGTATCATTTCCATAAACCAATGGAACGTACTTTTCGTGGTTGTGCACGTTTTCAAATATATGTTTTATATAAAAATTAATTTAGCGGTATTTTTGCAAGTTCAGTTTTTGTAAGTTATGGTCCCCCGATGGGATAGCGGTAAGTCTGTGGAACATTAAAGGTTCGATTTCCTGCGGTGGACACATCAAAAAGCCTAATGTGGCTTTGCTCTAAAAAACAAACAAACTTCATTGTAAGTTATGTGCTACTAAAGATGTCTTATATTTAATTTTTGTTCATAAACGTTTATAGCAAGATCAACAAAGTTGTAATACTAGGAAAACATGATCGTAATGAAAAGACTGAAAATAATTTAACGAACCTGATCAAATTATTTTCTCACTAATCATTCTATGATTCTTTGGTGAAAAGGGCCTAAAATTATGTAATGTTTAACTATATGACTAAAGACCAGGTTTTGAGCTAACATAATTATTTTGTAACATTTGACAACTTTACACACGAATCATCTTTTTTTTTGTCGGTAAAATGAAGTGGTTGTCATGTCCCTCTTTTAACAGGTACAGAGTAAACAAAATGGATATTTCCAGAATTCTATTTAAAAAAAGATGGAAAATGGCTTTAACTTGCAACTTATATTTAATTAACATGTATTTTAATTTTTATAGATACAAAGAGAGGTCATTCTATTCCCTGCATTATACGGATTTTCTATGATGTGCGCTGGTTTCCTCATGGCTATACTCTTTCAAATATATAAGCGATTCTCCCGTCGAAAGTCTGAAAATGTTACTGATGGAGCATTAAAAGAGGCCTTGCATTTAGGTGAGTGTACACTAAAAATTATAATCATAAGAATGGAATTGTAGATTTCTGGTGTTTGTTTTTCATAATTATTGTGGGTTGCTATGTTGTTGTACTTAAATGTTTTTGAAAGGTCACCTGGTGAGACAGCGGTAATCTTACGGACTTACAATGCTAAAATCCGGGGCTCGATTCCCCGCGATAATCACAGCAGTTAGCCCAATGTGGCTTTGCTCTTCAACGAAACAAAACAAACAATCAGTTTATAAAAGTATTCGCTTGATTTATCCAAGGTAGTTTGAAGTTGAGTTGTATTGCTTGGTGCCATTTTGTTAGGTTCCCAGTTGGAGTTAGGAACGAAGCAACAGTTGTTGTTTACGAAAAGATGACAAAACAAAATCATTCTGATGTTGCATATAAATATTACTTTGCAGAAAACTATTGAAACTTGCAGTTAGATAATTTGTTTGTTTGTAATTAAGCATAAAGCTACACAATGAGCTAGCTGTACTCTGCCCACCAAGGATATTGAAACCCGGTTTCTAGCGTTGTAAGTCCGCAGACATACCGCTGTGCCACTGGTGGGGGGCAATATAATTTGTTTATATTTTTTTTTTACTGAAGGCTTATTTACAGAATTGAGGAAAAACAAGACAATTGTACGTTTTACAAATACATAGTTTATTCACTATAACGGTTTCGTCAATAAAGGAATCATCAAGTATCAATTATACGAAGGCTTATTTGTTTTAAGGACAAGATCGAACCCCAATTTTAACGTTATAAACTTTCAAGCTTACCGCTGACCCATTGAGAAGCCTCGCTTAAAATTATGGGATAACTTTCCAACTTTCATGATTTAGATATTTCTTTTTTTTATATTTATTTTTTAGAAATTACAGAAAAGACAGAAAACGACATTGAAGACAGTAATGCTGAATCAAAAATGCTCCAGGAGCTGAAGCAAACTTCGACTGTTAAGAATTAATGAAACAAGTGCTTTAAAGACCTTAGTTGCAATTTCTTTATATCTAGTGTGTGAAGACAAAAAAAAATTAAATTTTAACATAAAGTAGAACGACCAACTAATAGGATGAGAATAACATGAAAACATAAATTCTTAAAATTAATTAGCATTAGAGATAAAAGCAACACTGTATAGAATATATTCAAAATTCTCAATTCAATAAATTGGCACATAAAACTTTTTTTTACACAATGTAACTCTAAGAAATTTTATGAATATTATCGGAACTGTCAAAAGCCCACTTTCCTTTTATCATTACAATACAATTATCAAGCATTTGTTAAAAGCAAAATATATAGTTTTTGAATTAAGCAAATATAATAACAATATGTGTATTGAAATTAGGTGTTGTTAAATAATACTCTAGTCTGAAACACAAATATGATTATTTTATATTTTTCTTTTAAAAGGTAATTGGATATCATAGCCTCATCTTGTAGTGAATGTGCATTTGAATCCCAAGAAGTACTGTATTGAAGAGCTTATAAAAGGTAGCGCTGTTGCAGACGGCCATTTGGGGTGAAGGCGATGTTTTAGACCTTCAAAGATGAATGGGTGTTATATATGACATTAATATGATTACCTAAAATATTTCAACCCAATTACTCACACTCAGACTTAATTTGGGTAATATGCTGAGGAATTTAGGCCCCTGAATCTGTTAATGTAGAATATCCACCTGGTCGTCTAAAATTGGTCTTTCTTCAGTCGATATAATCTTGAAATGTGCAATAAGTCGAAACAGCATATCTAGATTTAAATACATCATTCTAGGCTTAATGGAGGGACTGAAACCAAAAACGCGCTAACTCTAACGATGCGCTAAACGTAAAACAACGAATTAAACATCGCACAGAACAACGAATATTGCTTTGAATGAATAGATTGGGCCCGGCATGGCCAGGTGGTTAAGGCACTCGACTCGCAATCTG